CCGAAGGATATGTCACATCAGCGGGCAGTTCACTAGCAGCCTTGTCGAATGCTTTGCACTGGGCAGGGACCTAGGGACCATCCATCCTAAAGGTTGTTTGCAAATCTCCATAATGAAATATATTGTTTCTCTCAGCAAACCCAAGACTGCACACGTCATAGTAGATAGAAACACTCTTCCTGAATGTTCACATAACCCGGGCATCCTAGAAGGCCTGAGTGAATGTTTCTGATGTGAACCCTAGCCGCAGCGAGCGAGGCCCCTCCACTGCCCCCACCTCGCGCCGCCGCCGCCGGAGGGCCAGCCGGCGAAGCCGCGCCGGACCCCAGGAAGGTGGCGGCGGGGCGGATCTGATCCTCACGCCCCCAATCCCCCCACCTCCAACCCACCACTCGCACATCCCCTCCTGGCGGCTGCCTGCTGGCCCGGCGACGCCGGCTCCGGTCCCTCGCCGGCCTGGCCCGTGCGGCTCCGACCAGCCTCGCCCCTCCCTCTCCGCCCGCCGTTGGCCGCCGCGGACTCCCCCCTCGCGCGCCTCCTCCTCTCCGCTCGCGCCCCGCGTCCCCGAGATCCCATTTGGCGTCTCTCGGGTGCCCTCCACCAACTGCTGCCTAAACTTGCCGGCCGGCGGCAGATCCGGCGCTCCTGGCCTTGCCATGGGCGCCCCCTTTGCAGCCTCCCTCTCCACGATGGCGTGACCCAGCCCTGCTGGTGTTGTTGCCGGGCGTGAGGCCTGCGGCTGGAGGCAGAGGCGTTCGCGGCCTGCCTTCCGTGCAGGTGCCCCCTTTCGTCTCCGGTGGCCCTCCCTTTCTCCGAGTCACGGTGACAGCTCTCGTGTGGAGGCATCGATGCTTCTGTGGTGTGGCTGGCACGGGGCTCCTCGCGGCGGATCATTGCTGGTGCTGCTTCGGTCCCGGTTGTCTGGGGCCCGCGTCTCTTCGGTGTCCCCTGCTGCCGGCGTCCTCTGCCGGGCAGCTCCGGCGTCGGCGACCGTGTGGCTGCGTTCCCTCCAGCTCACTCGGCTTGTCGATGTCACGGCGGCTAAGGCCACGGCAGCTCGGATCTGCGTCCCTCCAGTCCTAGCTCGTCGGCGCTGCTGGACGCCGCCGCCCCAGATCTGCTCGCGAGGTTTTGCTTCGTCTCCAGCCCTACCTTGTATGCCTCAAGGCTCCACCTTTTGCTAGATCCAAGTGCTCGTGGGTTCGTGGGCGATGCCACCCACCGACGGCAAGTGCAGCCCTGCCAACCCCCTCCAGACATGGTAGTTCCGATCAACTTTGGCTTCCACATCTTCCATTCCGGACTAGGCGGCTATGGGATTTCTCAGCTTCAGGCCAGGGAGAGATCCCTGCTCGGCTTGCCGGTGCTGGCAGCGGCGGCGCCCACGGGTGTCGCTTCCTTCTTGGAGGCGCTGTCAAGGCCTTCAGCTGCGCCCCTCTTCGAGCTCAGGGGAAACCCTAGGTCCGACTCCCCCGGACCGGATAGCGATGGCGTCCCGGTGTCGTCTTCCTTCTTGAAGGCGTTATCTTGCGAGCTCGCGGTGTCCCCGATTCTGGCTTGGTAGATGTTGGAATTCTGTGTAGGTTCGGCATTGCCGCTTGGTTCGGGCTTGGTAGGTCTAGTTGTGATGTATCATTCGTTCGGGCCGAGCATCCCCTTCTGCTCCGGGCACCATGTTCACGCCTGCCTGCGTCCGTGTCATGTGTTGTACCCCCTTTCTACTCATTCTACTCCTTCTATCAATGAAAAGATACGCAAGCTTTGTGTATTCGCAAAAAAAAGTGAATGTTTCTGATGTTAGGTTTTTAAAATTTCCCAATGGACAATCAGATTTACCATGCGAAAATACTCTATATAAAATTGCCATCCTGCTGTATAAGGATTGGCATTCGACCAACTCCTCTCTACTTAACATAGAAATATACTCCCTCTGTAAACTAATATAAGAGCGTTTAGATCACTAAAGTAGTAATCTAAATGCTCTTATATTAATTTACGGAGGGAGTAGATATAAATTTAAGCACAAAAGTTACTGATTGCTGCAAGTGATCACCTCCTCATTTTCATATAGCCATAGAGATTTTAGTGACGAAGATTGTACATTGTAGTACCAAGATTAGTCTCCTGCTTGACCGTGGACAAAATCTGCAAGAAACCGGCAGCTGCGAGCAGTACCTACCAACCAAGAACCAAACTGAACAGGCAGATAAGGGAAACAACAACGGCAACAAGTGCCCGCGTCCATATATAATCACAAACATTAATAACATTACAAAATGCCAGACGCACATTACTGCATCTCAACCAGTCAAATTTCAAACACGGTACAGATTCCTCCCCTATCCGTTGAGAAGACCAAGTTGGTACCCATATGAAATGCCTGCCCGTGCCCGGGACCGACTTCCAGTCCAGATCCAAGCTGACAACGACTGCGGCGCATTTGAAGCAGTAAACACATACACACAAAAACTTGAATGGAATGATTAATTTCCTCCTATTCCTTCTACTCTACAATTGGGGGCATTCATCACTTTAACCTAACCAAAAATCAAGCATCCCTCCCATGAGCCCATCCTCCACCATATCTATCCTCCTGTTTCTGCACTGCCACTATGATTTCTTCTACTTTCCACAAAACATGTCCATTCAGTGTCTTCGTCTATCTATATATCAACCAGGTAGCTAGCAGCCAGCCATGCAATCGAGATCATCACCGCGGACACCGTCTTCCCAACCCGCGAAGCTCCCGAGTACTGGAACCTATGAGATTGTTCTCTGCAAGCAATAGAACAACATCCTACCGTTACATTACTCTCCTCTGCATCCATTCCTTGCCACTAACAAAATGGAAACAGAGAGTAAATTAAGCTCACTTCTGTAGACTCGAGAGCGCGCCGCAGAAAATTGTGTTATCTGGTAGAGGAAGCGGCGTCTTGTCGCTGTGGTCCTCCTCCGGGTTCACCACGCTTATGTACAGTTCTTGGCCCAGGTACCAGCTGTCCAGGTTCTCCACGCGCAGATTCCATATCCCTGCGTTGTCCAGGAACACAAGCACAGCAGTCCAAGCGCCGGGGAATACCTGCATCCTCGTCCAGAAACCTCCCAAATCAATCAACGAATCCCATGAAAGACTAATACATCAAAGTTCAGATAGAGCAGCTCCCGGGCTGGGAGCAATGTAACTTTCTGTTGACACATTTTCTTCAGTCAGGCAGACATAAACAACTCTGTGAATAGACTCACGTCATAGCTTTTATCTGCCATTCCGCGAATCTCCTAGCAAATATTAGAAGGACCAGAACATAGTTTTTTAATTCTAGCAAGCTTACTAAAAGCTCATACTTTTACTACTGGCAAAAATGGCTCACCCCAGGTTACAACTACCTTCTATTAACTGTCATGCTAAAACAGATATGGTATACTTTCTCGGGTTTCTGTTGACTTCTATATATAATAGACATCATCCATAAAGGAAAGTAGATATCCATAAGGACAATAAGACATGAATTTCAGCACCTGGATTGTTGACCGTGCAACTCCATCCCATTTGTTGTAGGTACCCCGACTATTGTCAGTCCACAGTCCATAGTCCATCCTGAAAAGGAGAAACACCTACCATAAGTAAAAAAAAAACAGATTTGACGGAGAAGAGGAAATGCAAGAGAATTTACCCAACGACGAAGAATGCATATCCATCCAAGTGATAGCTCTGCACGGTTGTGGCGTTGTTTTGGAATATAATCTCCATAAAGCCTTTGTAGGTGCAATTTATAACCGAGGTGTCAACTTTTGGCAGTCTGTTCATCGGATGATTTGGAAAATCCAACTTGAACACTCCAGGGACATTGAATAGTTGTGCAAGTATCAATGGAGTAGATGGAGCAATGTAAGAGATCCCATTGATAGTAGAACGCAGTTGCCCGTCGATGAGCTCGGGCGGCCGGCTCTGCAACAAGTACACATCAGTCACGGTAATGTCACCATAATGGAATGAACCCTGCGGGTTGGGGCGGGCACCGCTCGCGGCGACATTCCACCTGGAACAATTGTGCGTTTTACAGCATCAGTAACATTTCAAATGAACACAAAACAAAATGTAGCATCAGTAACATTCCAAATGAACAGAAACCAAAATGTGGCATCAGTGACATTCCACCTACCTGAAACAAACAATTTTACAAACAAACATCAGATATGAATTGTACAAACAAACATGATATATGAATAGTACAAACCAAAAATGTGGCGTGGAGGAAGCAGTAAGTACCTGATGGATCTGGCTTGGTTTATGGAGAATGCAGTGTCATACTGGTCATCAGGGGCAGCAGGGAGAGGGCCAGAGGCCGGACCCTGGGAGTTGGAGTAGTGCAGAATGGCGACGCCGGTGAGCTTATCGACGGCACCGGGGTCGGCGACGACGAAGCGGGCGCTGGCGACTACGTAGTAGTCGGTGCTGGCGTTCTGATCCATGGTGACCAGGAAGGAGTAGGACTGACCGACATGGATGTCCATGTTGCTGTAGTTCTGCTGCGAGGTGTATGAGCCCTCGGTCTCCACGAGCAGCAGGCTGTGTCCCTGGATCCTGAAATTCAGGCTGGTGGAGACCCCCACGTTGTGCACCCGCAGCCTGTAGGTCCTCCCGGGCTCCACATTGATCCTCTCGTAGGTGATCGCCGGCGGGACGAGGGAGTCGTTGTAGCGGTAGGGCCCCAGGCCGTTGACGAGCACGCCGTCGGGGGGCCCCAGGGGCGCGCCGGCGTCGAGGGACCTGCGGAGGTCCTTGTGGGACCTGACGTACCAGTCGCCGATGAAGAGCGTGAGGTCGCCGCCGTCCGGGAAGGGGAAGGGGATGGGGATGACGTCGCGGTTGTTGACGACGATGCCGCCGTACCCGCCGGCGGCGCGGTGGAGCGGCGCGGCCGAGGGGGAGTAGAAGAAGCTCCCGACCTGGTCCTTGACCTGGAATTGGTAGGTCCAGTTCCAGCCGGCGGGGATGGGGCAGTTGGTGCCGGCCACGCCGTCCTGCCACGGGGTCTTGCGATGCTGGAGGCCGTGCCAGGTGAGGAGGAGCGGCTCGTCGAGGGCGTTGCGGACGTTCACCACCACGTTCCAGTTGGTGGTCACGTTCAGCGGCGGCCCCGGGAACTGGCCGTTGATGGCGATGACCTTCTGCGCCACGCCCAGCGGGCGGGCCGACTGGTACGTGACCTCCCAGTCGAAGTAGGCGAACGGGTCCCCCGCCAGCGCCGGCTCCGGGCAGAGTAGCAGCAGGGAGAGGAGGTGGAGGAGCGCCATTGCTGCCGGCTCAGACCTCAGAGAGTTTTTTTCTTTTTTTCTTTTCTTTTGGGAGGAAAAGCAGGAAGATGCTTCGTTCTGCTTTCCCACAGAACCCGGCCCATCTGCTGACTGCCAGCCCAACAAAGGGCTTTATGCTCTGAGGGGGAGGGGCACATGCATGCTCTTTTTTATTTCAGAAATTTCAAATTGAGTTGGATAGTTAAAAAAATCCAAACAAAATATCACGTGTATGTATTAGAGTGAGTTATATTTCATAAAGTATCTACGGAAAGTCCATTCATGTGGTCTGGGTGGAAGAAAAATAAATTGGCGAGTTAGAATAACAAATAATCTTTTGAAAAAGCGATTGAGCTTCTTATTTTTGCACAACTCTCAAGTAAGAAGCTGAATCACTTTCTTATTTTTGAAGAAAGTGTTTGGGCCATTGCCCAGCCCACATTGTAAGAAAGCTGCACCATGAGATTTGGCACAATCTGGTCTTCAAATGGGAAATTCCTATTGGACGCTCGTTGCGTCAAAATGTCGAGATAACGCATAGGGCAGCGATCTGCTGGGCCGGCCCACCTTTCACTGTAGGCAGTTTCGGTTTTGGGAACCTTCTAGAGGATCCCAGCCGGCTTTTTACGGTTTTGGGAACCTTCTAGAAGGTTCCTGAACCGGATTTCTTTCTTTACTGTTTTTTTTCTGTTTCTTTTTTCCTTTTCTCTCCTTGTTTCCTTTTTCTGTTTATTTTCTTTACTTATTTCTTTTTTGTTTCTTTTTTTATCTGATTTTCTTTTCTTTTGTTTTTCATTTTTCTTTCTCAGATTTCTTTTTCTTTTTCAAAAGTGTTCACATTTTAAAAAATTTGTTCAGTTTTAAGGAAAATGTTCCTGTTTTCAACTTTTTGTTCATAACTTGCAAAATTTGTGTTCGCTTTGTTTAAAAAATGTTCATAATTTCTCGAAATGTTCCATTTTCCAATATTTGTTCAAAAATTCAAAAAAGTTCATGGTTTAAAATTTTGTTCAGAATTTCATAATTTGTTCGCAACTTCAAAAAAGTTTCATGTTTTTCAAAAACATTTTCTGCAGTTTCAATTTTTTTGTTCGCATAGGCAAAAAAATGTTCTTATCTATGAAAATGTTCAGAAATTCAAAATATGTATGCACGTTTTCAAAATATAGATCATTTTTCTGAATTTTTGAACAAATTTCAGGTTCGAGAACATTTTTTTAGAATGTTTCAAAAAAAAAATCATGATTCAAAAATTGTTTGCAATTTTCAGAAAATGATCGTTTCAAAATTTTCTTTGGTACACTTTTCTTTAAAAAAATTACATCTTTAAAAAATTGTTCATCATTCTAAAAAAATGTCCCCCTGTTCAAAAAAATTCACAAATTAAAAAATGTTCCTGTTCTCAGAATTTGTTCACAAATTAAAAAATGCTCCTCTTTTTGAAAAGTGTTCACAAATTAAAAAAAATGTTCACATTTTGTCAAAACCAGTTCATGATTGTGAATTTTTGTTCGGAATTTAACAAAATGTTCATGTTTTTCATTATTTGTTCACAAAATCAAAATATGTTCCTGTTTTTTTTAACAATTCAAAATATTGTTCACATTTTCAGAATACTTGTCTCTTTTTATCAAGAATAGATCGAAAAAAGAAAAAATAACCAGATCTGGTGATGTGACTAGTTGTATAGCGTCCGCAATGCCATTTCACCACAAGAAGGAATTAGGCGTAGTGTTTAGGTAGCTTGCTCTATAAGTTTGTGGTTGTGGGATCGATTCCTCTCTGAAGCTTCGCCTTTTTCTTTCATTTTTTACACCACACGCTACCTGTGTGGGCCGGCCAAGTCGGGGGGCGCCCTATGCGAAGTCCCGACTGGTTGCCGCAGTAAGCGGCACATAGGTGCTCCCCTTCAAATGGTCTCTGTTAGAGAATGTAAGGTTCACCTCCTTGCAACAGCAAAGCCGCCACGCGATGCTGCTGAGCCTGAGGTTGTCCAGCACCAGCGTGGGCTTCGCCATGGTCGACTGGTACAACTCGCTCCCGTTGACTGCCAGTTGCGTCTCCAACGCCTCAGGAAAATAATCTTACCATTGAAGAATTCTCTCATTCTTGGCTTACAAGCAGCTAGCAGATGCAAGGAAGTATTAGCTTCATTTGCTTTTTTGCTGCCGTTCACCATCCAATCAAGGAGATGTAGAAGATGGCACTAATGCAAGAATGAAACTCTTTTTTTTTTTGCCATTCACACCTCAATCAAAGCATCAGCAAGTCATACAAACAACATCATCAACTAAGAATTACTAGTTTACTAGAAGATGTCTTTTTTCCTCCTAGAAAATAAACAAGTATAAGATGCGTCTGGGTTCTTAGTTGGGCCGGCCAAGTCGGGGGGCGCCCTATGCGAAGTCCCGACTGGTTGCCACAGTAAGCGGCACATAGGTGCTCCCCTTCAAATGGTCTCTGTTAGAGAATGTAAGGTTCACCTCCTTGCAATAGCAAAGCCGCCACGCGATGCTGCTGAGCCTGAGGTTGTCCAGCACCAGCGTGGGCTTCGCCATGGTCGACTGGTACAACTCGCTCCCGTTGACTGCCAGTTGCGTCTCCAACGCCTCAGGAAAATAATCTTACCATTGAAGAATTCTCTCATTCTTGGCTTACAAGCAGCTAGCAGATGCAAGGAAGTATTAGCTTCATTTGCTTTTTTGCTGCCGTTCACCATCCAATCAAGGAGATGTAGAAGATGGCACTAATGCAAGAATGAAACTCTTTTTTTTGCCATTCACACCTCAATCAAAGCATCAGCAAGTCATACAAACAACATCATCAACTAAGAATTACTAGTTTACTATAAGATGTCTTTTTTCCTCCTAGAAAATAAACAAGTATAAGATGAGTCTGGGTTCTTAGTTGGGCCGGCCAAGTCGGGGGGCGCCCTATGCGAAGTCCCGACTGGTTGCCGCAGTAAGCGGCACATAGGTGCTCCCCTTCAAATGGTCTCTGTTAGAGAATGTAAGGTTCACCTCCTTGCAACAGCAAAGCCGCCACGCGATGCTGCTGAGCCTGAGGTTGTCCAGCACCAGCGTGGGCTTCGCCATGGTCGACTGGTACAACTCGCTCCCGTTGACTGCCAGTTGCGTCTCCAACGCCTCAGGAAAATAATCTTACCATTGAAGAATTCTCTCATTCTTGGCTTACAAGCAGCTAGCAGATGCAAGGAAGTATTAGCTTCATTTGCTTTTTTGCTGCCGTTCACCATCCAATCAAGGAGATGTAGAAGATGGCACTAATGCAAGAATGAAACTCTTTTTTTTGCCATTCACACCTCAATCAAAGCATCAGCAAGTCATACAAACAACATCATCAACTAAGAATTACTAGTTTACTATAAGATGTCTTTTTTCCTCCTAGAAAATAAACAAGTATAAGATGAGTCTGGGTTCTTATTGCGGGAACACAAGACTAATGCTTCTCTAGAGAAGCAGTAAGCCTTTTTCAGTTTTATAACGACAAAATTACTAACTTATGGAAAATGATGCTTAGGGCATGTCAATGGTCGATATGGCGTTTTTCTCCTATGTATTTCACGTCATTGAGAGAAGCCGAAAAACCATTATATATGATGGATTATCTCCAAAGTGTGATCTCTAGCAATTAATGTTTACATGATTAAAAAAACTAGAAATCCTTTGAATAAGGAAGACATCCCGTACAACAGCTACCTTGTCTTTTATTCAAAGACCATCTTTCTCTTAGCTAAGACAAGACGAGGCTTTTTTTCTATCTCTTTCTCTTGTTGAATAATTGAGCATTTTCCCTTTAAGTTTAATCCAAAAAACAGTAGATAACATGATAGCTATGATAACCAAAATAGGCAACAGATCGTGGAAGCAAGTATTCAGTTGAGAATATAAGAAAAAACATCATATCCATGTCAATTGCTACTAGTGGTAAATCAAATGCTAATCCTAACATAGAGGATAAGATGACATAACTTTTTTGCTTTTGAAGCGTAACTTATATGTTTCGACGATTATTTTGCCTAGTGCATTATACCAGGTGCATGACGAAACGTCTAGGTTAGCATGGTCAATGAGTGCATGGCCGTAGATGAGCAAATGAATGAATGATGACCGTGTAACCGCTATGAAATCAATAATTTATCAACAGACGGCAATTAGATCCTGACGCTTATCACAAGCGCCCGTGTTGGACATGGCCTGACATCACCAACTAGAGAGTTGACACTTCGATCGATCTCTCTGCTATCACTAATAAAAGAAATAAAATGACACTACAAGCAGGATTCCCGTTCACCATGATTAAAGAGTCCCTGGATGGGTGCAGCAATGCAATAAATTTAATTTTTTATCTATTGGATGCCTTCACGTGAAGTCAAGATCAAACGCCCTGTTGTTAATTCTTCCTTTCTACTTGTGTGTGTGTGTGTGGGCATGCGTGCGTGCGTGCGTGGCTGCTTCTCTAACTTTAGAGGATTTTCTTCAGTTCCTGCCTTGGTATATAAAACTTGAACGCTTAGCCGCCACCAAATCTTTCCTACCAATGTCAATACCATATTTGGTAGATGCCCTTAGCAGCCATTGTCGCTTAGCTCATTAGATTGCATAGCTGACTTCTAAGCTTGTTTTTTTAATTATTTATATGATACGTACAGGCCGTACAGAGGATTAATCTTTTGAGCTTCTTCAGTGCACTACATGCCATAACTGGGTATTATTTTACAAATTTGAGCATCAATAGAAATGTGAAGAATCCAAGGTGCACGCCAGTGATTACGTGAAGGACTTAGAGCATCTCCAGCCATTCGCCCCCCAACGCACCCGGCGATATTGGTTTGGGCAATGCGCCGGCGGCGCCCTGTGGGCGATGGAGTTCCCAGCCGCGAACTCAGGTTTCGACCCCAAAGCGCACATAAATTTAAACTTGTCTTTTCCCGCTGCCAAAAAAATGCCCTAAGTTCGGCGATCTGCCACAAAGTTTGG